TTTATTACTTATTTATTATTATTATGATCGCGATTAGGTCATCCCGCTGAATTTATCAGCATGGTAGGAGATAGGAGATGGTTAGGCGTTAACTGCATTCAGCAGAGAAAGCAGCTTTTTGTAATTGTTGTAAAATTCTTCAATATGATTGGTTTATACATTTAAATCCATAAGGAATCAATTGTATTAAAACATTTTTTACAACAATTGAAAAGCTACTTTCTCTGATGAATGCAACCATTGATGTATTACATGTATTCGCGATGTTATTGAATACTTATAAAGTAGGTAATGTAGGTAGGAATACATGGGTGAAGAAAGACGCGAATAAATAAAAATACGAGTAGGTAGTATAAGTATGGATAGATAGAGATTGTGTAGGTAGGGATAATAAGTATGGATAGGTAGGGATAACCACAACCATATAAATTAAAAAATTAAGTTATTACAAATTAAATGACACTTAAATAAATTTCGCGATCGGGTAATTAAATTTTATTTTAAAAATAAAAAAAATAAAAGATATCACATAATATATCTAAACAGTAAACTATAATATGTAGGTAGGAATACACAGACATCATCTATACATACTTGATAATTGGAAAGAAGGGATTAAAAATTAAATAAAATTTTTAATTAATTTTTTAAATTTTATTTAATTATCAGTATGCCGTTCCAATTATCAAATATGAAAATAAACCAAATTAATTTTAAATTTTATTGCCTTTTCAGCTCCCCTGAAATCGAACTTTTCTGTCAAATTCTATACATGTACAAATTATGTAACGTGTTAATATCGTAATTAATTTTATTGTAAATAAATGTATGTATGATAGTATTAGGTACGTGATATAGAATTTATATAAACTATGTCCAGATAAATGTTATCACATTTACTTTTGTAATTTGCACAATAATTACTAATAAATTATATATTTATTGGAATGTATACGTATATCAGTTCTATATAATATCTATTCAATACAAATAGCATTTATCTTGTCGTAGTAAATCAAATTTTTTGTTACTTTATTGATGTAAATTACACGAAATCGACGAAATATATGATAACTACAAGACGGAGGGACTTTGATATGATGAAATTATTAAGTTAGTTATCTTGAACGGTATGAAATACAGCGCTGTTATAAATATATTAATGGCTTTTTATCGCGATATTATTAAGTTTTATATTCGCAAATTAATAATTAATAGTAAATACGATCTAATTGTTGTTAGTATTTCTTCTACATTTATTAATATTTCATTAAACATTGGTTTAGAAAAATTTGTATTATCGTACATATTTTCGACGTTTTCGTATAATCTCGCATTACTAAAATTTTTTAATTATGGTCCTATATTATCACTTTT